TAAAAATAATATTTAAAATTAATTATTTTATAAAAATAAAATTTAAATTCAAAATTTTATATTTAAAGATTAAATATAATACCAATTTAACTATATATTTTTCAAATATTATTATTAAATAAAATATAAAAAGATTACATCACTTGGTCCCACTAATTAAGAATAAAATTAATAATGTTTATTTTATTTTAGCTTCGTAAAAAGCAGAACGTGGACAAGTGTGGTGTATACACGCATCTACGAATTATGGATTAATTAATTTTGCCCCTGAATCCTGAAAATAAGGTGCCTTCATATGATGGATTAGCTAGCCAGCATCGGAAAGAGCGTTCGAGAACCCGATCATGAAGAAAAGAAAATGCTCTCAGAACAATCGTGATTTTCGTACTTTTATGTATTTTATTTAAATAAAAATAAAATATAAAATTTAATAAAAAATAATTTTAAATTGGAAAAATGATGTGTTGTACACGTATTACAATATTCAAGAAGAGAGTACATAATAAACCCCGTGCTGCTTTAGTGGTAGGGGTTGATCCATCTTTAAGTAAGGTTAGGAGTTCGAATTCTGTCTTGTGTATGCAGTTGCGTTAAATTTTGAGACCAGTTATCCAACTTTTTGAGGTGCCTCCAACCTAGCCAGCTATCGATCTTGGATACTCCAAGGACAGAAAAAAAATGTACATAATAAAAAATAATTATAAAACTCAAGATGTTTAAAACATATAAAATAAAATAGGTAGAAGATAAATGTGTTGTGAAAACTACGAAAATGATATTTTCTTTATATTAAAATTATTTTTATATTCATTTGAAGTTACTATTCACATATCAATAAGTTACTATTCAAAATACAACATAAGTAAAATTATTAAATAAAAAAGAACTCGAATCTCGTTATGATACAATTAGTTTCAAATTATTCCAATTTTCATACAATTCCATTCAAATTAATTTCCTCAATTTCACAATAATCAAGTCAAATAACACATAATACGATTTTTTTATTATGTGGTGTATATACATTTCTATTGTGCTAATGTACACCAATATTTAATAAGGTTAGCCTCAAATAATTAAAAAAAGAAAGAATCATGCTTAACAAAAAAATTTCAGAAGTTATATAGTAAGTGTAAAAATAAAAGTCAAACAAAAAGATTATCGTCAAAACCTTCAAATGTATAGAACAAGGTTTCTACATTTTAAAAAGAGTATTAATAAATATTAAAAAAAATTCCACTACTTTTTATAAAAATATTCAAAGAAAAATATAGTAATTAAAATATTAAATATTACTTTTTTTAATTTTAAAATTCTAACTGATCCCATTACTACTTTCATGTTTTTTTTAAAAAAAAACAAATTATTAGGTAATAACTAATATTTTTAAATTTAAAAATTTCAAATCAATCCACTACTTTTGCTTTTGGTACATAAACTATTGTTGTCTGTTATGTTAGATGAAGAAATTCTCGACAAAATTTTGAACATGACAAATATAATGTATATTGTTATTTTTAACGTGTGTATTAGTGTTTCAGATAAATATAAGAACAGGCTAAAAAATGGAGTACGTGTTTTTGCACATACCATGTATGGTTGAGATAAATGAAACATTAAATGAATTGATCAAGCATCAAGACTAAAACCTAGTCAAAAGCAAGATACAAGACAAAGCACACTAGTAGAAGAAGTCTTGAAGTATCATATGAAAGGCCAAAACAAGCATCAAATAAGGCTAAGTCAAGAACAAGACAAAGTTGGAGCCTAATGGTCAACTAGACCAATTTCAAAATATCAGACGGTGGATAATCTAAGACAAAGCATCCTAGACGGAATTAAAACTCTTCCATCTGCACAACTGACCAGACAAAAGGAAAAGTCAAAGTCTATCCTTAGACAGAGACTCAAATTCCAGACGCAGACGAAGAATGTTGAAATGCGTCTGAAGTCCACTATTCACAAAGGAAAATATCATATATCATCTACATACATAAGAAGAACACGCGGAGTCATCAAAAATATGAAAGGAAAGAAGAAAAATAAAAGTGCGCGAATTCACAAGTCAAAGTTGTGAGTGTCAGAGCAAGTACACCTACTTTTCAGAAAAAAGACAGCGCTTCTACAGCTACACTGACGGAAAGAGAAAAGAAATACCTAAGTTATGATTGAAGTCAGACATAAAAATAAACAAACTATGCAAAGGACTTCACGTAACTCAGATTTGGCAAGCAAACATTTAATGCAAGATCAAATGCATTAAATGAAGGATTTACATAGCCATGAACGAACAACTATCTGCACCAACGGGAAGCTCCGCCTCAATGGACACATTCAAATTCAAACAACGGGCAAATTTATCACAAGGCTATAAATATCAAGACCTAAGAAGAGAAGAAGTAGAGAAGTGAAGCAACGAGAAAAGTGAACATCAAAATAATCTTACATCTCTTCCTGTAAGTCTTGTATATCTGTGTAAAAACTAAGATAGCTTATCTTAGTGAGTGTAGAAATTACCTTATCCTCTCCGTGAGAGTTACATACACACTCTAAATACATATCCTTGTAAAACTAAGGTTGAATACCTTAGTGAGTGTAGAAATCATATTATCCTCTTTGTGAGAGTCGCATACACACTCAAAACATCTATCGTTTGTAAAGCTTGAAGAGGCTAGTGAAAGAATACTTGGGGAACCAGAAGTAGTTTAAGAATACTAACGTTGACGAGTGAAGTTGACGAACTCAAAGTGGTTGAGAATACTTGTAATCCTTTGTCATTAGTGGAACCCTTCAGTTGAAGGAGACTGGACGTAGCTCAGGTCTAGTGAACCAATATAAAAACCTTGTGCACTTTTTATTTGTTTCAGACAAAATTTTATTTAACCACTATATCACTATAAAGTTTGTCCACTAATTAAATCCCTTTTTTTGGTAACCATTTTCAGATGAAAAATACATTTGTTCAACTCATTACTTAGAAAAACATTTTTACCAATAAGAAATATCTTCTTCAAGCAGACAATAAACCATCAGACTGAAAAATCCTTTTCTGAGCCAACCGTACATAGTTTCAAGTGTTCAAAGTAATATTCTCATTAGAGGAAAAACAATCTCTTTGTGAAACGTTTTTAAGACTCCTTCGTTCACACACATTCAACCCCCCCTTCTGTGTGTTTTTCCGATAACTTCATTGTCTACAAACAAATTAATATCATATAAAGCACACTAAGAAGAAAAAATAAATTTACTTCATCTTTATCAAATATTGGGATATAATGAAGATGACACGCTTTTAGAATTATTAAAAGAACACTTGAACCAAACCTCTTTAACTTTTTCAGATTTTTACTTTCTGCTAATCTTTTACCAATCTATAATTTTTCAACAAATAAGCTAATCAATGAATTATGACACCAAATCACTTAACGATATCAAGGATATATTTCAACAATTTTTCTTACCTATGTAACTTCCTTTGCTTCATGATTAGCTTGTTGGAAGATTTTTTAAAATTATCCCTGCAAGAAATTATTACCCATATCAATGACTCAAATAAAACTATGTCATCAATAACTTAGACATGTTAGAATCTTTAACTTTTTCCTCCTTCTCAACTTTAGCCTTTATGGCCTTTTACTCCTTAGATTTGAGCTTCTTCATACATAGATTCAAAAAAAATAACCAAGTAAAATATTGGCTACTGAGTCACACAAACACACCATTGGGATTGCAATATAGGAAAATGTCATCACCAGACCTAAAAGCATAGAAATAACTACAAATTCAGTAAAAGAATCACCAAGAAAATTTTTATTATTATTTTGTTTTTGAGTGGTGGAGATTCAATAATTAATAACCAAATATAAATGACGAGAAATATGCATTACAAGATCCTTCTTAAATTTTCTATGGTAGTTTATAAAAGATGGGAATAAAAAAGTTAAAGAAAGAGAAAGGGATCAAATATGCATTACAAGGTCCTACACCAAATCCTTAAGGTCTTTTAAGATGTGTCTAACTCCGTAGCTAAACCTGTAAAAAAAAGAATAACTGAGAAATCAAAAGCGAAAACCAAATTCCAAAAGTAATTAGAAAACATAAAACTAAATTCCAATGCTTAAAGATCAAGAAGTTGTTTGTTAACATTGGCTATGAAAATTAGATTTGCTTCAACTGCTTTTGATTTTGCTAATTGTGCAACATCCATTTGTTTGTCTATCACTTCAACATAAGGATCTCCCATATGTAATTATATTTAAATTAAATTATAGATTTGTTAAGACTTGAAAGACATAAGTTGACATTAAAAATAACTCCATGCACACACAACTACAAGTACAACAAACACAACAAATCACTTGAATTATTTACATGACTCAATTACTTTGGATGGTAACGCACGTTCGGAATAACTTCCAAACCCAATTTCATGAACATTAAAAGGTTGAAGACCGTA